TAAGAGACTTTCACTGCCAACAGAAACTACTAGGACATGATTGTTCTAGAAGTCCTAGAACAAGAGTTGTCCTAGATGTTCCTTGTTTGGAAAAAGAAAAACTATGACAAATCCTGTCTGAGGAAATCAAGGACAAGCTTGTCTTAGATTTCTTTGTTGGCAGTGTTTGTTAAGTTAGAAGATTTCCTCTCAAAATTGTCAATTTCACTCAATCAATACTTGCACCATGCTCCTATACACACCTGTGTACCGTACAGACCCTTTTGCACCACATTCACGTTAGTAGTATTAGTCTTTCAAGTGGTACCAGAGGTATGGTTGTCACCGGTAGGTCTTTGAAACTATCAAAATTTTGCTCACAGTCTACGTGTAGCCACAGATGTCATCAACTTGGCCAGTTGAACAACCGGCTGGAATGCTAAGGCTCACAGCATGTCATGCATTACACTTCGAGCGAAATTCGAAAGAAAACATGCCAATTACATACCGTGTAAGCTGTTTAGATCCAAATTAGCACGATGAGGTAGCTTGTACAAGGAAAATTAATCTACTTTTTTTTTTAAGCGATTGCGTTGTCCGGTAGTGCAGAGATCGTCATGAATCTCAGCATTTCGGTGGTGTGTTTGGCTACCTGAACCAACAAGCCCTGCGGCTGTGCGTAGAATTTGCGCAAAAGTCCGAGGGGTTGGAAAGACCTGCCGTTCACAACCATACACTGCTTTTGCGAGACACACACCGCCTTCGAATGTGTGCGTCGGTTGAAAGGGGTGCCTTCGTTCCACCTCACGCGCCCGACGGGGAGTTCGTCTCACGGATGAGGTGATAGGCCTTCCAAAAGTAAAAGGAGAAGAAGGCGCAGGAGAGACAGCACGTGACACATGTCTTGAGTCTATTGCTGAGTAGTGAAAATAGCATGAATCCGTTATCGGGACGAATGCTGGCTGTTAGACCAGTCTTGCCTGCCCGTGGGGGCTCGATATTAAACGATAGCATCTATTACAAGTTTGGGTGAGTTTACTATGTCAAGGTCTAGGTTATGTAGATCGACCTCTCCCTACAACAGCACCACTGCCTAAATAGTGGTGGTAGCACCCATTATGCACACACTGATGCGGGCCCTAGCAAGAATACAAGGAAAGTTGATCCGAAAAGAGTTCCTTCGATTGGTAACAAAGGCCACTGTACCCATCTTATACCCCTCTCCAATCAAGTCGCCACTCACGGGAAGGAAGGTAGGCATCGAGAGACACATTGATTGAACATCATGTGAGTGCAAAAAGGATTTATAAACGCAGGCAGTCGGGCAACACTTCTGAGGGGAAAGACGCGCAAAAAGAGGAAAGGAGACGGGCAGGCACTATGAGACAACGAAAGCGGTCACGGGCCAACAACGGGAAGGTTCAGGACTGAGAAGAGTACGCAGACAAAAAAAACAAAAGAAATAAACTGTTAGGTCGAACAAAATCAGAATCAAAAAAGAACATCGTAGCCAGTGGATAGAGGATGGGGGGGCAGTAGAAAAGCACAAATGGCAGCGGACGGAGGGCTTTCTAGTTATTTAAAGATGCGACACAAGATAGCCACCAATAACACTCGCAAGAGTGTTACAAGTTCGCGCGAGATGCTTTTGCTTTTTATTGGCAGCAAAACGGATTGGTTCACGCCTCAGGCGCAGCCTCAGATGCCTCAGGGGCCTAAACATCAATGAAGGTCGAGAATGTAGAAGAAGCGAGATAAAAAAACAAGAGAGGGGGAAGACGAAAGGACGGTGATGATCAGATCAGTTACTACAGTCACAATCGTGCATCTCGAGACCGAGAATGATTTACGTACGGCAGCAGGCTCCGCAGGTTTGTCTTCCTTGTCGTCCGGCACACTGTCATTCAAGTCAGAACTGCAGGTAAAGCTCACATCGATCAGAAACGGAATGGGATAACAGCACAGATTGAATAGGTTGACTTACGTCCAGAGGGTCAGATTGTCTCTCAACAACTGCATGATGAGCGTCGAGTCTTTGTAGCTCTCCTCGCTGAGGGTGTCCAATTCAGCAATGGCGTCGTCAAATGCTTGCTTGGCGAGTTGGCAAGCCTTGTCGGGCGCGTTGAGAATCTCGTAGTAGAAAACACTAAAGTTCAGCGCAAGACCCAGGCGGATTGGGTGGGTAGGTGGGAGTTCGACTGTGGCCACAGAGGATGCTGCCTTGTAGGCCTCAAGCGAAGCATCAGAAGATGATGTACGCTTATCACCCGTTGCGAATTCGGCAAGGTAACGGAAGTAGTCTCCCTTCCTGTAATCGGAAAAAAGGTGAAGCTTCTTAACGTCGAAGATAGAAGGATACAAGAAAGGCGTGCAGCGAGCTAGCGTATGAAAAAGAAAAGCTTACATCTTGTGGTAAAAGACCTTGCTTTCACCCGACTCGGCCGATTTGATGAGGTGACCATCAAGGACTTCGAGAATGTCTTCACAAATCTTGGCCAACTCAGCCTCGATCTTGTCACGGTAGGCCTTGATCTGGCCGAGCTGTGCCTCATTGCCCTTTGCCTGAGACTGCAACTCAGCACCGGCACACCGTTCACAGTTGAAAATGGAGAGACGAGAACGATAAGAGAGGAGACAAACCTCTTCTTTCTGCTCGATCGAGCTCACGATCCTCCAGCTGGCACGTCGAGCGCCGATGACGTTCTTGTAGGCAACTGACAGAAGGTTGCGCTCTTCGATGGTCAGTTCTTGATCGAGCTATCGATCACAAGCGCGTAACCGGCCCAAGGCAGTGATAGACAGGGGAAAGAGGTAAATACAGTGAGGAGCAAGTTCAGACAGATGACGGAGAGTGATAAAAGATAAGTCGGGAGAGAGAGAGAAGACAGAAAAAGAGACAGAGAGCGGTGACTGACTTTGGCCACGTCCTTCATGTAAGTCACCATCTCGTCATATCGCTCGGCCTGCTCAGCGAGCTTAGCCATGTAAACAGAGTCTTCACGGGAAGCCATTGGAATGGAGTGTCTGAGGATTCGGGAGCAAGAGAGAGGTTGGGATCAACAGAAGCAGAGAGGAAGACAGCGATAAATAGATAAGGATGATCGATTGATGTGGATTGAAAAAGGGTTGAAGAGGACCGATAGCGACCGCTGGTTGAAGGAGGAGTGATGTGACGGTGAAAAGGGGTTCGAAAGAAGAAAGGAAGGCCCACCTGAAGTGTGCGAAGTGGCGGGCGGTAGGGGGTAATGGTGAAGTGGGCAAACGAAGAGTAGAGCGTAGGGTTTGATAGGATGATACTGGTTGAACTGGAGCGAGTGAAGGGGCAGGCGAGAGCGGGACGAGGGGGAAATCGACTTCTAGGGGGGACGGGTGAGGCTAGCGGATACGGTACATAGCATACCTATACATAAACTTAGACATAAACGGTCGAAGGGTTCCAACTGGGCAATAACTCATTTTGATCGAGGACGTCACTCAACTCAACTGATTAAATTCTCAATTAAGCGTTGGAGAAGGCCAATCAAAACCCTTCAAAGACGTAAATCTTGATCCCCTAACACTCAAACTTGGTACAAAACCTGACAAAATAACCAAAATAAACAGCTTCATGTGAATTCACGCTCCCGACTATCGGGTGTTGCACGGACCATCACAGCCACTTATCGCTTAGACCCATAAGCTTAGGGGCGACACGTCAGTGCTCGGATACCGATCCGGGATACCGATCCGATGTCGTGTCCACTCACCGTTGCCCCTACGGTAGATTTTTAATCTCACTTCACCATCATTATCCTCATGTAAGCTCATTTGTGGTGGGTCGTCGAGGGCCCAGGTGACCGTTTTTAAAACCATTGCCAAGTTCTTCACAACGGCTTTGGGATAAAAATCTTCTACAGTTCCCTTGTGACCTCGAAGACTCTCAACAATCAATTAACTGGTCTCTGAGTACATACATACTCTACCAGGGTCTCAACATTGGACGCTTTACTTGAGTCCTCTTGAGTCGTTCTCAGGTCTTGCGCGGGCTCCCTCGGCCGGAGAGAGGAACTTCTCAGCACGTTGGCCCTAAGGGGATAAGAGGGCCTTCATTAGTGAGTGACTTTGTCCCATTCAATGACCTAAACTTCTTATTTATCACTGTAAGGCTTTCAAACAAGGCTGAGCTTTAACATTTGAGTACAATTCTGTTTCTTTCCAAGTCTCAGCAAAGGGCAAAAGAAGAGGTTTTTCTTTACTTCAAAGAATTCAAGTGTTGTCAAAGCAGCACTTTTATCGCCATTTACAATCAGCTTGTTGGGCCTTTCTTAACCCGTTATTAGAACACTCAGGGGCCAAAGTTTCTGTTAGTCCCGGGAGGCGGTTTTCCAGTAGGAACTCAGTCCACCAAAGAATTAAGTTTTTGTAGGTTGTGACCGCCAGGTGTGGGGTTAGTGTTGTATCAGTTAAGAAATGGGAAGGGTCACAGTATGGAGTGGGAAATGGAGCAATCAGACAGCATCCAAAAGACTTCTTCAGTTTGCGCCCTCTAAAGGGACCCAAAATCCAGTTACAAAACACACTCCAAAGGTCGTTGCATGATTATCATGGAAGCGGAACATCTCAACACAAACTATTTTAGGAAGATACTGACATAAAAACCAATTCTTTCAACCTCGGCCACATTGTGTTTTTGATCTTCAAGACTTTCAAACACGGTGCCTCTATGTACAGACTCTGATACCATATGCTCATGAAAGAGGCGCTGTGGAAGACTCTCGGGTCCCAAGAAGTACCGGCAAACCTTATCATTGTGCAAGGGAAGTAGTAAAACATCCGATTGGACCCAAAGAAAAGCTTGGGTAACATAACATGTTTTGAAAGAGCCATGAACGAAATGGGTGTGAGAGGCCTAAAAGCACTTTTCTCTCTTAGAAAGAGCGATGCAAAGTTGTCAAACTGTGATCAAGACAGTCTGAAAATGAGTGTCAGTTGAGGTTATTCCAAGGGTTGGTTATTCATGCCGGAATTGGGAAAAAAATTAATGACCCGAACGTGACTTGAACACGGAACCTTTCGATGGACAACGAGAGAATCTCGCTGGAGTCGAACGCGCTACCATTGCGCCACCAGGCCAATTGATGACGTCACCACTGTTTGCGTATATATACCATGGGATATGTTATCTATACAGTGGGTGCAAAGTAATGTAGTGACTTGAGTTGAGACACGTAGGGGTTTCATGCCTACCTGCGACATATGTTTTCCAAGACTCAAGGTGCATACATTGCAACTTATGTTCCTACATGACATCATGTGCAACATCAGTGCAACAACAGGTGGTCATGTGTAAGCATAGGTGCACTTGCATTGCACCATGTGTAATTGTCTGTAATCACCTATATTACAGGGGCTGTGTGATTTCCCACAAGTTTTCCACAGGAAACTCTCAGGTGTGTCAACGTGAATTACTACACTACTTTGCATACAGTATATAAGTCAGCCAAAGAACTACTTTTCAAACACTGATAGCTTTGGTTTTAGTTCAAATCTAGCACAAGGCTCTGAAATGGCGTGGCGTTTTTATAGCAGCGTTTCCGGATACAGTAAACTTCGAGAACGTGACACGAGGGGACCGGAACGGAAAGGACTCCAACAGTGATGATTTGGAAGTCCTTCCGGTCCGGGAGCTAAAAAGCTCTGTCTCCAACTGGCTGTGCCGTAGTCGTGACACTCCTGTGACACCCCGGGTCACAACAGTTTTGAGAAGTCTCCAAAGAGACACCCGGTGTAATATACAGACCTTCTCCCGTATGGAGGGATAGTGTAAGTCTCAACACCTGGGACCCACTTTGGGAGCAACCTGAAACCGCCAAAAAAAAAACAATACTCTTAATTTATTCTGGGCCAGCTATGTGCCTAGTCCGTTCGGGGTCAATTTAATTATAATGAAATTTCTGTTCCATCGATCTAGTGTATTCAAAAATATCTACAGTACTTCTTGTTGTGTCAGCTTAACGGAGCCCATCTAGGAAGCAAACGCATTTGCCTTTGTCGTCAACGCTATCTGCGCCGCCAACCAGACAGAGCCGGCTAGCTAGGCAACAGTCATGCGCCTGTGGAAGTCATCTCCTCCAGCCTCTCCTCTCCAAGCTCTAGACTGCAGGAAATTGTAATCGAAAAATTGAAGGCCAAAGAGCCATACCCCTCAATCACATTCTGGAAGGTAAAAAAAATTGTCAGTGCATTTAGTAAATACGCGGTGTCGAGATACAAGGTTGGAATCTCTTACCTGACTCATAAAAATGTCTCACACTGTTTTTAAACCCAGCTCAGGCAACTATTGATAGCTTTGCAACTTAGGTTCACTAAAGTGGCCAGGGTTTGAGAGTGGGGTTGTACTCTCACTTCCGCATGAAAGCAAGCTTGGAGAGTAATATTTTATAATTACACATGGAAGCAGGACTCAAGAATAAGATTCTACTCTTACTTTTACATGGATGTCAAAATACTGTAGCATTGTTCAACAGTGAGGCAAAATCCCACTATCTTAATGTACAGGGAATTAAATTTATTACTAAAAGCCATTTGAAGGTTGTTAACTGCTGGTTAAATGCCAAGTAGATAAATTGAATTATGGTGTACACTGGTTAATGACTGAATTTGGTACTATCATCTGCAGAATGAAGGTTTGTTGATCAATACCAACAATAAAATGCACTATGATAAAAACTAGACACAATGGATAAAGACATAGATTTGGTACACTATCTTATTTGTGTGGCCCACTCCTGCTGTTTACCTCACTTAGTAGTGATAACATTTCATGTTCATCAGATGAAAAAATTGTTTGTCACCACTAAAAATAAAATGCATCCTGATAAAAGTTGGAGAAGAAGGATAAAGAAAATAAATATGGTACATTGTCTTATTTATGGGCTCACTCCTGCTGTGGGTGAAAGGAAAAGCTTTTGTAAAATGAAGATGCCTGCTCTTGTCATCAGTTTTAGAATTTAGTGTAATGTTATGAGTAAATTTTCCCTGTCACACCGCAAAATGTACACACTCACACCTTGTATATCTCATTACTATAAACCTAAAATTCATACTCACAGATATACTGACAGATACAACATGCCTCAAGAAAATTTCCCTCATCAGTCATTTTCTTATTACTTCATGTGATTGGTCAGGTGAGATTCTCTCAAGGTGTGAAGTAGCGCAGTGTCATGGTGCCTAACCACTTCTCCTGCTGTCTGTCCATCAGTGCCTTCCAAAAGAATTATCTCAAGTTAAAAGATACTACAACATATTCTTCATCAAAAGAAATAAGTTTTAGAAGAAGTCAAGCTATCTGCAAGGCCAACAGTTCACCCTACATGAAGATAGACCAAGGGATACAGCCAAAAACTCATATGCAATGATCCTGAATTCTGATCATCTGTTTGGTATCTTCAAACACTCAACTGCTGACTCTTGAGCTGTCCAAATTTCTTGGAACAGTGTTTTTACTCTGCTTCTTTTAACCACTTCCCAATTCCCTATGCTCATCTGAAAGTAAACAAACTCTTGGTACCATATCTCTAATATACAACTTGAGCTGCTGGTAGGATCAGCATAGACTTCCAATTCAAGAACAATGAATCAGACAAAATTGTCAATGGCGAGGCTTTGTGCAATGTGAGGGGCACACTTTCATCTGGAAACAAACTTCACTGATGAAGCAAAATAGAATGGGCTCAAAGGCCAAGGTTGGTTTATTGGGTTCTTATACAGACCAAATGCCTAGGGAACCTTCCTGAAGGCCATATGGGTGCCAAATATACCTGGTGAAGTAGGTAGATATAGACCCAGCAAGGCTTCACACAGATGCTTCATATCTTGTGCTTTCTAGAAACAAATACACTTAGCTTTCATCCTTTACCACACTGTGCTTCACTCTTGAGAACCCTTCAGCAAAAGTAAGATAGTTGATTCAAGGAGGGAAGGTGCTAGTGATGAACTTTCAGTGATCAAACAAAAAAGACAACAACTGAAGACTAAATGAAGACTAGGGGTGAAGAGCCTTCTGGAAAAGAAAAAAACCATCAAGATGCTCCATTGTAGCTAGTCACTGCCAAGATATTTGTATCGGATGGGCCTATCCGATGTTCTATCACCCCAAGATATGCGATGCAGTGTCAGTAGGATTAGGTGCGATGGAATTACTATCGGTATCTAATGCTCTGACACCATATTGCAGTGTAATTCCATCGCACCTAATCCTACTGACACTGCATCGCATATCTCGGGGTGATAGAACATCGGATAGGCCCATCCGATACAAATATCTTGGCAGTGAGTGATGAGGAATCTCCCAAGATATGCGATGCAGTGTCAGTAGGATTAGGTGCGATGGAATTACTATCGGTATCTAATGCTCTGACACCATATTGCAGTGTAATTCCATCGCACCTAATCCTACTGACACTGCATCGCATATCTCGGGGTGATAGAACATCGGATAGGCCCATCCGATACAAATATCTTGGCAGTGAGTGATGAGGAATCTCACAAGTAGAAAGCTTATAATATCCTAGAGAAGTATCCAGACTGCTGAGGTTTGTCATAATGATGAGAAAGGAGAGGGGGGAAGGATAGAGGAGGTCTGATCCTACTTTCATACCCTGTGCTCTCATCCTTCCTTCATTAAGAGCATGTACTCAATCTAAGGGGAAGCCTAACTCCTCTCACCTTTTACTGAAGAATAATTTCTTTACATATTCTGACAGCCTGTAGTTAGGATTAAAGCAGATTACTATATATGCAATCCTTCTATACTATGTAACTACTTGGTGAACTAAGTTGAGCTCTTATTTTATAGCTCTTGAGACTGAGCTATTGTCAGCCCTGAGGACTGCAGGACAGTCCCATAGGCTGCAAGAAGACATGTACATACATAGTAACCAGGAGGAATAAGTGTAATACATAGTGTAACAAGTGAAGTACATATATAATGAGTAGTGTAACATATATATTACATAGGTATTGAGTAGTGTAACATATGTACTACATATGTAATGAACAGTGTAACAAGTAAACCACACCTCAAGCTCAGTTTTAAAAGCTGTAGATACTTATATAAAGCCACCTGATGGCATTACACAAGTATCATCCACCAGATGAAGAAGTGTAAATGTAAATTAAGTAACTTGTAATAAATAAGAGATGAATTTATTACAAGACAAACCAGCAAGGGCTAGGTTAGCCCTTTGACATGGGAAGTGCCTATAGTGAAGGAAGATTGAAGACTGAGGGTATAAAAGGAGGTCCCAAAGTCCTCCCTCTAGGAGGACATTTCTGACCATCAATCTATCAATTAAGAATTTACACCTCAACAGCTTGAGACACTATTAAAGTGATCCCTGAGCTTTCTTCTTCTAAGATAGTCATAGAATCATTCACCCTACTCTGGGTGTGGTGATTATTCTATCAAACAGAGATAGCTTGGGATCCTTGTCTCTTCTCTTGATTCTTTCTTGATTTTCAAGGTCCACACTGCCTTGTCTTCATTGCACCCCATCTAGGAACCTCCTCCCTCATGAATTTAGGGTTCTTGAAAGGAAGCTAGTGGGGAAGAAGATCAAAGTGTCTTAGTGCTTCTGAGTGAAGCCCTGGATTGGGATTCAGCACCCTCACTGTGTTTCAGACAGGCTGGTTCTCCTGCTCACCCAGTGAATTTACAGTGCCCATCTGCCTCCTAGGCTCTGAATCACTAGGAGGATTTAGGGAAGAAACCCTTGGTTGCTTTGAGTCTTTGACTCAACAACCTCCATTATTGCACTCTTCAAGTGAGAGTCCAGCCAACTGAAGCTAGGACCTCACAGCTATGGGGTATCTGAAACATACTTATGTTACATTTTGCAGTCCCATGGTACTTTTCAAGTACTCATGGGCTGACTTGCAATGTGAGGGGAAGGCTTCTTTTAGGCCTTTCTCTTCACTATGATAAATTAAGACAGATTTCTTAAGGGGTCTGTACTGTGGTAAACAAGTACAGACTCCAATTAATTGACCTCTGAGAAGAGGGTTTGAGACCAGGGAACTATTTTTGAAGGGGCCTTTGAATAGGCTTCCTTGTAGATATTTTTGAAGGA